AAATGCTACAAGTTACCTATTTGTTAAATCTCTTGATTTTGTCTAATTTGGAATTTTTTAAGTTCTTTTGTTTACCTCTCCTATTGGATGTTTTATGATACAGCTTAAAGTGGTTAGTTTTGGCAGTGGATCAGTCTGCTTATGTGCTGTCAGAGTGTGATTTTTAGGTATTTATTTTTTTTTTTAGGATTCTTGTTTTGTCATTACATGATATTGTAATGGACCTATTATGGCCTCATGAGGACTATTTTGGTCAGTCAGCATGCTGGACAGTAATCAGAATCTCAACCCCTGGGATTGTAATACAGTAAAGTGAAAATTTATGACCAGCCCTGTGCCTTAATTTCCTGTATTAGAGTGTCAGTCTTACGGACATCTTTATAGTTTTAAAGCGTTTTCTGAATGTAGCCAATGGCCGAGTTCAAGTGTGCTTTAGATAAAGTCAGGTTATTACAAAGCTGAATTACATTGAAAGATTAAGCGATTCTTCCAGATTTTTATTTTTTTTTCCTCATTGAGTACTTTTTTGTTCTTGCCTGTGAAAAGTTTATATAAATCATTACAGGAAAGGCACAATGCAAAGCATGCATCCTGTGAAAGCATGAATGTAGACTGAAATGTGGGGTTTTTTTAAGGTGTTTCCTGAGTGCTATGCATATACAAGTTCTGAGTTACTAGATCTTCTGTTTTCCTTTTCACTTCTGCTCTTTCCAGCTCTTCCTTTTTTCTTATTCCCGCCCCCCCCCCTCCCTTTTTTTTTCTTCTCAGGATGCTTTTTGGAGGTGAACACATCTTAATGAGCCACATTGTATCCAAAACAAACAGAAGAGGGTGGGGAGATGATGAGGGGGAGGAGGACAGGGAAAAGATGCAGCTGCTCATTTTTAGTATTTGAAACTAGCCTTGAATACTGTGGCATTCACTTAAGCTTTGTAATAAAAAACTAAGGGCCCAATTGAAACAGTGCATCTTTTTTTTTTGGTGTGGTTGCCAACAAAAAATGTTAAAATAGTAACAAACAGATTATTTGAATTCCTGTCTGAAATAATATCGGTGGAAGATGTTTTGCTAGATGAGATTGCCTGAGTACAGGGTTTCCACACAAGTGAAACTTCTGGAAAAGCAGCCAACTTCATATGTTATTTTTTATTCTGTTGTGCCAACATCCAAGTTAGTAGAAGATACTTCCTTTTATTTCACATGCTAGGAAGTAGGAATCCCTGAAGCGTTGGGTCCTGTGGTTCCTTTCTACTGAACTTTCACAAGCAGTGTGCCTTCACAGCATCCTGGGCCACATTAGGAAGAACGTTGCCATCAGATTGGGTGATCATGCCCCTTTACCCAGCTCTGGTGAGAGACTCCGGGAGTAGTAGGTCGAGTTCTGTGCTGGGCAAATCGGGGTGAGCCCAGTGAAGGGCCAGAAAGATGATTGGAACTGGAACTGTTCAGCCTGGAGAAAGAAGACTAGGGGGGATCTTCTCTCTGTGTATAAATATACAAGTTGTATGTTCTCACATATTTTTCTGAATGGTGACATTAATGAAATAATATTAACACTATTAGGGAAAAACTTGTGGTTGAGGAACAAAGCATGAAACAATGTGTGGAATGAAACGTGTTTGGGGCTTTGTTGCACAATTCTTCACATGTTAGTGAGCTCTTGCCCTCCTAAGTAGTCTCATTGACGTCAATAGGACTGCTCCTCTAAGTGTTCACCGCTGCAAGTAAGGGTTGCACAATGTGTCCTTGTCTGTAATGTACAAGTGTATGTAACACTGTATTTAATTATCACTTCAAACCTCTTGTACTTCAGAAGCATATATATTGAAATACCTCAAATCATTCTGCTTTTCCTAGGATGTTTGTTTTACTGACATGGAGATTTCATTACATCTATCACCATAAAATAGAGGAGAGATAGCAACTGAAAAATATTTTTTGTCTTATGTTCATTTAAACAGCTGAAAGGACTGTCAGAGAAAGAAAACAATTTTATTCCTTTATTGTGTTTCAAATAAATTGGAGTTTCTAACTTTTTTCTGACAGTTCGATGGAGTCAGTGCATTACTTTCAGTGCTTCATTAGTCTGAAGTTAAGCTTTCTTTTCCCCACAAAATAATTATATAGAGTTTTGTTTTTTTTTTTAATTTTAATTCTCAATCAAAGTTTAATTTGGTATAAAGGACATCTTGTATCTATATTTTATAGTAATAGCAAGTATAAGGTAAAAAAACAGTTTCCAATATTATTTATGTGGTACTAACTAACATATTTCAACTTTATGGATTAAATGTCTGCTGTAGCACTTTTATTGGGGTTGGGGAAAGGTTATGTTGTACTTTCTAACACTCAAGTGATAAAGCCAGAATATTTGTCACAAAAAGTAATTTTCTTGAGACTTCAGGAAGTTTTTATTTTTAAAACTTCTTCTCCAGTTGCAAGTGTTGAGGTTTGATCTTGAGTCAGGTTAGAAACTTTTCTGAAAGTACTGTTGTATAGTGCATATGGATAGTTGGAATTAAATATCTTTGTAATTGTGAAATACTGTAAGAAGACAGTGTTACGATTTAGAAAAGCAAGCCTATTTTACTTTGTAAAGAAGATAGACATTAGTAATTTAGGCCTAGTGGTAACTGTACAAAACATTACCTGTAGTGCTGACAATTCTTTTAAAGTAATAGTTAAAATGTGAAAAAAGCTTAACTGTTGGAAGATGAAGTAAGAAAAGTTAATACTGGAATGACAGTGAGATTTTTAATTTATTTTTTTTTAGTAGGTGCACCCGTTTAGTACCTGTTAATAACCTTAATAGACTAGCTGGGAAAAGTGTTCAACCTTCAATTTTTTTTAGGCTTAATGTACAGCTAGCAAGTGACACTCATTGTCATAAGCAGTAGGACAGTATCTTGGCAGTAGTTTATGTCTATTCTAAAAGAAACAAAAAAATAATCCATAAACATCATGGCTGAGCTTTAGGTCAGGTAAGAATAGCACCTTGCAGCCTGCTCCTTGCATCCTTTCTGAAGTTTTCCATTCATGTGCTCAGCAGGCATGTGCATAGTGCAGTTACTGTATCTGGAAAATGCATAATTAAACTAACAGATGTGTATCTTTATGTTTTTGTTTAGCCGTGATGTCTAGAAAATTGTTGAACTAGCAGGTTTGTTTCTGAAGAGCTGTCTTCCAATGAACCAGATTAAACCTTTCTAGATGCAACCATGTTAGGTTTCTTCTTAACGTTGCTTTTTAGTGACAAAGTTTTCTGGGTTTTGTATCTTTTCATTTTGTAAAGGATGGCAACTGTATTTTTATTTAAGCCTCCTAAAACTGTAAGATTTGGGGGGATTAAAAAATAATGACAAATACTTAGTTGTTGTGCTGCAGGTACACTCCTAGTACTACCACAGTAGAGAACATTCAGGTGTCCAGTCTTGTTGACAAGTGGAGTGTTATTTGACTGTGTAGTTGTTACTTAAGAAGACTCCTGTGCCCTGGGAAACTGCTAACACATCTACTAATATAAATGCTAAAATGAAATGGGATGCTCTTTTCAAAAGGAAGGACATTGTATCCTATTTAGTAACATAACAGTAAGACTTGGCACAGGCATGTAGCATCCTTCAAAGCAGGTTTCATCATACTGGATCTTGTTTGTGTAATAAGTACCATTTTGGGGAACAGCAATGTAAGTTTATGTTGGTAAGTATAAAGGGTTTGCAGAACTTTATTAATAGAAGTTAATTTGAAAAAAAAAAAAATCAGCAGTAAAACTTTGGCTATAAAGATAGAAGTGTCAGGTGGGAGGAAGATATTACATAAGCCAGAAGGTACTATCAGAGAAAACGTAAATTATGAACTTTGTCCCAACACCTGTATTCAATGGAAGAGTGAATGCATTTGTACCTTGTGTAATTGTTATATTTTAAGTAGTTTAATTCACACCTGCATATGAATTTACCAGAGTGTCCTGGTTTGAGCCAGGATGAAGCCAATTTTTCTTTTTACTGATTTTTTTTCCTTCAGTGAGCTTTCTTGTAACTAGCAACAGTGTGTTCTGCTAGGCTGATAAGACAGTGGAATGTTTTTCTAACTACTGAGGCTTCAAGGCTGCACCTGCACTCTGCCAGCTCAGACACTATGGGGAGATTTGTGACCCCCCTGTAGGAGGCTGAGTTAGACAGACAGCAAAATTGGCCAAAGATATTCCATTCCATATATCTACGTAAGCTCAGAGGAAGGTCAGAGATCACAGAAGACAACTTCCTTCCTTTTTCTTCTCCCTTTCTCTTCTGTCCATGGCCGGCGTCCAGGGAGGACTCTGTTCATCCATCACCGTCGATCCTCAGGCCTGATCTCTCGTGACCCCCATAACTCTCTGCTTTCTCCAACAGCAGCTCCGGGATTCCTCGGGACTCTTCCCAGTTCAGGGAAGTGCTGTGGGAGTTGCTGGGGTGGGGGGGAGGCGAGAGGCTTTTTGCCCATACCTGGATATATCTGTATATAATTGTATATATTTTCTTGTATGTTTCATTAGTATTTTAATTAAAGCTGTGTAGTTTAGTTTTCAATCCAGCCAAGTCTCTCTCTTTTTCTCTCTCTCCTTCCCTACCTGGGTGGGAGGGGGAGGGGATCGAGAGCATTGTTGTCGGACCTGAGTCAAACTGTGACACAGAGATTAAGTTTATGTGAGTCCTGAATCAGAGAATTGTTTTCATTGGAAAAGACCTTTCAGATCATGAAGTCCAAACATTAACCCAGTATTGCAAGTCCACCAATAAATCATCTCTCTAAGCACCACATCTTTTAAATACCTCCAGGGATACTAACTCAGCCACTTCTATGGGCAGCCTGTTCCAGTGCCTGACAGCCTTTTCAGTAAAGAATTTTATCCCAATATTTTATCTGAACCTCCCCTGGCATGACTTGAGACCATTTCTTCCTGTCCTGTTTCTTGGGAGAAGACATTAACACTCGTCTCATAACAACCTCCTTTCAGGTAGTTGTAGAGGGTGATCACCCTTAGTTTCTCCAGGCTAAACAACCCCAGTTCCCATTTTTAACAGCAAGTTAGGAATGAACTGTATTTTGGTACTGGTCACCGTTAAACGGAACATTATTGGTGAGGTATATTTTGTGCAGGAGACATGGGACCTCAGCTATGTGTCTGCACAAGAGAATATAGAAGATCAGAAAACTGGAAGTCATACTGAGATGTTCCTTATATGTTTGCAAATACATCTTTGCTTGCTTTAGTGTGGTACATTATTTTTTAGTATGGTGGTAATTTTTTTTATCAGTAACCTTAAGATCATACATAGCTTTCTCCTCAAGCAAAGATTTGCAATTAATTTGATTAATTTGCAACTCGTAAAGCATTTCTGTATTCCTTTTGTTAGCTTTTTGCTGTGTTAATTAAATCCTCAAATTTGGTTCCATCATGTACCTGGAAGTAGAACAAAGCTTGTTACAGGCCCATCGGAGTTATTCTGTAGTGCTAATTACAACTGGAGAGAAGCTACTCTTAAACCAGGAAAGTAACATTCAGAGTTTTAAAAAATCGCATACATCAAATAATGGATGTTATTAAAGCATAGCACTATACATGCTGTGCAGCATTATGCCACTTCTACAATTTGAAGTGTCTATTGATACCCTGTGAAAAATTGTTTGGAACGCATATTCACCCCATTAAGCATATATATCATACTTATGGAATACCTTTTACATCTAGCTGATGAGAACTGCTTTCAGAAAGGTTCTTAGATGGCCTTTTGCTTTTTACCTCAATATGAACCAGTGGTCAGAGGTGATAGTACTCTGCAGTCCTTAAGTGCTAGATTTTGGGAGGTGTAACCTGCTGAGTATCTGTAGATGGCTAGGGCTCAAGCTTGCAAGATGCTGGTAATATCAGGAAAACTACCATGGAAGCTGATGGTAACTAAAGGTCTTATGTCCACATGTTGCTCAGCATCTGGCATGTTCAGATGCAATGACACATCCATAGTTTTTAAAATCAGAAATAAGGGATTAGAATTGCAGGATACAAGATGAGGTAGTTATTAGTATTCTTTCTGTATAAGCTCATTTCAGCTCTGTTTTGCCAAACTGGTTTTTATTCTGTCTCTCTAAAACTTCAGCAGTGCTGCAGGTGTTCTGGATGAACTGTTGCATCATGTACTTCTGGCTGCTATAGCCACTGCATGAGTGACTGCAGTTGGTTATGGGTTAAACTGTGTTCTTAATGTATACAGAGTTTGCAGTTTGATGCAGTGACTAGAGGCTGGCATAATAAGGCATTCATTGTTATATGAAGAGTTGAAACATTTAATGATATAATTTATTATATGTGAAGCAAACATACACCCTTTTTAAATATCAAAATCCAGTGTAGTCTTTTTGTGTACTTCACGTACTTCTGTATAGTACTTGTGTACTTCTAGTGATGTGAGCAGGAGCTGGAGGGGCAAAAAAGGTGAATGAAGCTGCTCACGGATGAGTTTGTGAATTAATTTTTCAAGAAGAGAGAAACGAAAAAGATGTTTGACCATTCTCATTGCTCCCTGTTAGTGATTATACTTTTTGCCAGACCAGTAATGTCAGGTTTCACAGAGTCTGAGCACTTGGTTGCATCACATTCCTGGATACTTAACTGGATTAAGATAAAAAGTCTGACTCCAAAAGGATATTCCAAACCTGACTGTGCCTGTGTTTTTGAATCCTGATGCTTTGAACAAAGAAGGGATTGATTTAATGGGATTAATGCTTAATCCAAATGAAGCAATGTACACACATGCCTTGAATGCTTTTGAGAATAATTACAAATATAATTTATAAGGTACTGATGAAGATACAAAAGAGGTGATCTTTGTGTAAGAAAGACATGGGGCAAGACAGCTTTAAATAAAGGAGAACAGAAGCAAAGTTGTGTTCAAATTAGCTCTTCCTGATTAATTTTGGATCTTTTTAAGACATCTTTTTTTGTCTTTTTTGTAATGATATTTATTTTCAAGTGCTGTTTTTGAGGAAGTGTTTCACATTTGTCTTCTTAATTTTGATATTCCAAACTAGAAGATTTATTTTAAAATACGTTTTTCATTTGTATTTGAAGTTAGATTGCTTTTTGTTTCAGATAGCACCTTATCTTAATACTGTATATCATAATTATTTTATTTTTCTTGTTTGTTCCTTGTTTTGCATATTTTCTATGTGGTGCTATAAATTATTACTTATTTGGAGAAATTATGGTTTTGCCCATACTTGCTGTGACCAAGTGGCCCCTCTGATTTTATAAAAATAATTGTTTATTAAACCAAACAAGCCAGTTTGTGGGAGCTTTTTGTGTTTAGTTTATTCATTTTTTTTAATTGGGGCATTTATTTATTTTTACTGTTAACAGACACAGCATTTACAACATTTGTAGTGACTTCCTTTTACTGTTATTAATAAAAGCTTTCTCAATACATAAAATCCATCCCATTTCTTATATCAACCAATGTGTATACCCTTGCAATGTGTTTTCAAAGCATTGGATCCCATCTAACTGGCTGAAAGTCATATACATCAACTACTTGCGAGGGTTTTGAGGAAAGCAGTGGCTGCAATCTGTCAGAGTGTAGCTGTTCTAGGATAAAATGCTGAGCCTTGATAAGCAGTAGGCTGGCTCATCAGTTTTTACCCATTCTCCCCTGCCTTCCTACATGCCCCTCAGACTCTGAGCAAGGAGCTTTAGGTGAAAACTGAAATTCTTGCCTAATCACGAAATTTGATTAAGCTAGTGGTTGTAGAAAAAAAGACCAAGTATCACAACACTAATGAAAAAATTGCAAGAATTGCTAACGATGTGACTGACTCATGTTGCTAAATGGGGCAGATTTTTCAACATAGCTCTAGGCTTCAATTCTTTCAGCTCATTCACAGTCAGCTCTGCTTTATACTGAGCTCAGTGAAGCCATTCTCAGCCGAGAGTGCAGTACAACATGGATTAAGAGTCAAAGAGTGGAGCCATTAATCGATTTAGTACCTCACAGGTTATCTAGGAAATGCTTTAAATATTTTAGGCAGTATAAAAAGCTGAAATAAAAGATACAATTTTCAATTTCTTTCTTTTTTTTTTTTTTTTTTTTTAAAGGAGAGATGTTGGAGACTGGCTCAAATGCAAGGAGTAATTACTGATAATTGATGTTTGAAGGAGGTCTTGTTTCATTATTTATTTTTGAGTCCAGTTATACTGTATCTGGGATAGTAAACAGCCAGTGCAAAGGAGCATTCTTCCGTACTGGATTTTTTGTGTGTATGCTGTTACATTGCTAGAATGGTTCTCTGCAGAGCATTGGCCAAAACCAGCTGGTGATGTCTCTGGCACGTCTTGGGTGTTCTTCTGGAGTAGGGTAGTGTTCCCAGCAGGCAATGAGCATATATTCCTGTTCCAGTTTTCCCTAATCTTTGTTGTTGTAGATCAAGAGAGCTTAATATTAAGGGTGGAAGAAGTTATAAACATTCATTTCAGGTCAGTGAACAGCTCTAGACATACTCTGTTTACTGGTGATGGACAAATCTGCAGTGTTTGTTTGTAGTACCATTACAATTTACATCAGGAAAGTGAGTATCTAAGATCCTGAGTTCAGTATACTTTGTCACATCTGCTGAAAAAACAATTTTCCTTTAAAGTTTGAAGTAATGGTGTTTTATACTTATATTTATATATGTTTAAATGCATTGATATCCAACTGTTTTCCAAACACTATTTCAGTGACATCTTAAGAGAACAGCAGCATATAAGACTGTGAAGGTGTTTGTGGTTTCTGTTTCTTCTAACATAAACATTAGTGAGGACTATTATAATCAACAGAGCTAATATGAGCACATTTATTACATGGCTCTTCCTATTGCACCAACTCCATCCACTGTTATGCTTTATTCTTTGTTGACAATTCAAGTACAGATTTCTTTTGGGAACTAGCTTCACTCATGTGGGGCTTCTTGAAAAATACTTATGTCAGTACCTGTAAAATGATTTGCCCGCATATTGTGCTTTGCTGTAATGAGAAATCCACCTATAATTCTGTCTTCAACTATGTATGTTTCTATTTATTTCTCATAGTTTATGAAGGAAAAAACAACACCCCCAAAACACTCCTATATGTGCTTAATTGAAAACCAAGGTTTGTTGTAAAAAAAACAAACAACAGAACAAAAACCCCACAATTTAAAACACAAAGAGCACAACCACAAAACCAAAATATTGATAGACTGGCATGATCTATCCAGATTAGATTAACAACTCGAGCCTCAGGCATATGCAACGTGGAAAAAGAGCGCTATTGTTTATTTGGTAGAGTGCACCAATACAGAAGTTTATAGAAATACTGTAAGTAAATACAGATGTTTTGTTTCTATAATTTGATTCACACTTCACACTCATGCCCCAGAATGAATGTCCTGCCTGAAGGATTATTCCCTCTGACAGTAGAAAGGCTGTTCACTGATCAAGGAATTGCCTCTTGCATAGTGTTGGGAGACAGGCTATCTTTTGCTCTCTGCTTTGTGTGGAGCTTTGCCAAGTGTATATCATCCTGCCCTATAATAAATGAGATACACAAAAATCACAGTAATGTGAAGCATGTGCATAAAACCAGCATTTATTGTAAAGCTGTATTTCCGCTTACTCTTCAGACAGGGTAGCCAAGGCATGGGAAAAATGAAACCAAATCAACCTTGATTGTTTTCTGTGTGTATGAACGAACTTTTAAAAGCAGATGGCATGGCCAAAGAGAATCTAAACAGGAGTGTTTGGTCAGGAAGTGAGGAGCTGCTGAGCTAGCGCAGGCAGCCTGGGCTCTTTCTTTGATGACGGTTTGTTCAGATGGAAATGAAAAAAGGGCAAGTTTATCTGATACATGTGTGTCCTTTTGCATAATGTTTTGTTATAATTTTCATTATTTAATCACAAATCCAGAATAAAGATTTAATGCAGGCATAAAATATGCAATAGCAAATTGCACCAGGAAGGAATCAGCACTGAGATGTGCGTTTATTACTTTAAAATAAGAGTACAAGGGAGAAAGGTATGTTTGTGACTTTGATTAAACAAGATACATGTATGAATCAGGAAGGCAAACTCTAGTGCATTAATTAAATGAATGGACATTCAACCCAAATGCCAGAGTCCTCCTTCAATTGCCAGAGGGATTAAGGTCATTTCAGTCTTTCTGTGGTTTCTCGCCTTCTGCATGATACACTGTTGGTCGGAGTTCCACCCTCCTGAGTGATGGTCCCTCTTAGTAACTGCCACAGCTCTGTTGAAGGACAGGTGAGTTCCAGATACAAGAGGCAATGCTTTCTGGGGATATGTGAAAAGAACAAAGGGGATCTTTTGTTTGGGCTACTTGAAAGAAAGTGTATAGACCAACAGAGATATGAATGTGTCGCTACTGCCTTTTTCTTTTCTTTGTTAGATTCTGCTGATGTTTATACTTTCTTCTCCAGACAAGTATTGATGAGCAAGAATGAGAGAAGTCCTGTTATCTCTGGCAGATGATGTGAAGCTCCCTGTTGTAGTAGACAACTGTAGACTGCTGTCTCTACTAGTCTACAAGTCCAATACTAGGAAGGGGAGAAGAAAGGAGTAGTGGAGAAATAGTTCTAATGTGAATACATGTAGAAAAGTTTACTGCTCAAACTACTTAAGACTAATACATTAGTAACAGAAAAAAATAATAACCACTGTTTTTGTTTGTTTATTTCTAATTCTGTAAATGATACCTGATTGGTATGATAAACTTTTTGTTCTTGAGTTTGGGTGTAAGCATTTATTTATTTTAATATTATTGATCAAAGTCTCTGAATTCTGAATTAATTTTAAAAATATTTTTTGGGCATATTTCAGAATTAAAAGATTACAACAGTTCAATAGAGAGGTCAAGAATATTTAACAATAATACATGTACCAGATGTTTTAAGGAACATGTGAATGTTCAGGAGAGCAAGCGTGTCCATCACTGAACCTATGCATATTCTTAGGTAAAAGTCTTACTCTTATATACAGTTTACAATGTAGAAGGCTTTATGTATGCCATAAAATAATTAGGTATGTGCAGCTGTAAAATAATTCTTACGTTCAAGCTCCTTTTCAACACTTTTATTCTCTAATATGCATAAAACACAAAATGTTTAAACTTCTTCCAAAAAGCTACTTTTTATTAATTTATTTTTTTTAAATGTTACATTTTATGAAATTATCAAGTGTTCTTGCTGCTTTTGGTTGTGGATTTCATGGGTATGGTTGTAGCATGTATTTTTCAACACAGTAGACTAACAGCTAGGATGACCAGTAAGTCTGCTTTAGTCTATGTAGAAAATCGGTTTAAGTTACTTTTTAGGTTATTTTTAACTCCTCAAATTTAGTTGTATATCCTGTTCTGCTTGCTTCCACCTACAAATCTGATACTGAAAAAACACATCTGCACAGGTGCCTTTAGTGAAATAAAGGAGGGTAAAGACTTTTAGGTTTTCTTCTATCAGCTTCATGAATCAATTTTCTGTATAAGGTTAAAGCAGAATTTTCAAACTCAGGTTGCTAAAATTGCAGGATATGTGGGACGGAAATTGAACTCCTGGCATATTGACTGAAATCTTATTTCAAAATGATCTTTTATTGACTTTTGTGGCTTTTATTACAAAAACTGCAACCCATAAAGGTTTGAATTGAAGAAATATTTCCATTAAAGTCAAGGATTACAGACTGCACACATAGGAAACTTAAGGTTATTTTCACTAAAAACAAAATTTGACCCTTGTAGAATTTCAGTTGCTAATTTTACAAACTTTTCAGTTCCTAATTTCTTACTAGAAGCAAAAGTGTTTGTTTGCAGCCTAAAGACAGCCTGGAAGTAGCAGGCATTTTTTTTACAAATTTATGTTGGTAATTTTTCAGCCAGAGCTTAAAAGGCAGGTAAATATTGATGACTTTCTGATGGTTAAATCTGGTAAATCTTCAAAATGCCATAGTCTTTATGAATGATCCTCCAAGCATGTTTTCTTTTCAAATTACTATGAAATTAGTAATATTTACATTCCCCAGATACTACATTTTTCTTAGTTGAGCAAATGGCAAAATTATATTAGCTAGTCTGATTTTTCAGTAAGTGAGGCTAAAAAGTATTGCTAAAAAGTCTTTTCATTCATGTGACACATGTACTTCTTTACAGATGCATTATGATACAAATTTACAAACTGCCACCCTAAGTTAAACAATAAAATTAGTACAGTTTTCTTTTTTTTTTTTTTTTTTTTTTTCTCCACTTGCTGATCATCTCCTGCTCTGAGTTAGAAAGAACCTTTATTACTAATGAAAATAAGGGCTCACTTAGCTCTCTTAATTCACATGATACAGATCTGGAGAGTCTTGCCAGTAAATAAGTAAGTTGTTATTTTATATTCAACAGGAATTGCTGTCCATGTGGATTAAGAGAAGGGGAATTTTAAACCAGATCTGAGCTGTTGGGGGCTGATGTGGGAATAATGGGGGTGCAGTTGGTGTACGGAGAGTGGCATGTATGGTTGGAGCTCTGCAGGTGGGCATTGTTGTTTTGTGTTCTGGTGTTGTTTCCTGAAGGCTTTCATAGTACATATTTTTAAGATATCTTAAAGGTTACAGTTGTTGACTAGCATTTAAATTACGCTATAGCTGCTTTCAACATGTTCTTATACTGTGCAAAGCAAAAAAAATAATTGGAAAATTGATCATAGTTAGTAGGACAAATACTCTCCAAAAGAGGTTAGTGTTGTTTGGAGAAGAGTTTCTCTTCTGCCAAACCCAGGCTGTTTGCTGTGGAGTATTTACATTTTCAAACACATAATAGAGAAGGAGAAGGTGCATTTACAGTCATTGCAGTGGTTGTGACTCCTCTTCCCCTTGGATCTCATTAAGGCTTTTTGCACTTGGGTTGTGTGCTGCTGGTGTGGCAGCCTGGAGCTTAGTACTGCGGCACTCTTGGATTCATCTCCCTGCAGCCAGTGGTTTGTTTAAGGGATCTGTGAAAAGTGTGATCAGATTGTAATTTATTTTTTTTTTTTAAGAATGTGTTAAGGATCTATGATTCTGAATTTTTTTTTGTGTTCTTAAATGTATGTTGGAGTTTTATTTTTGTTGCACATGTTATAAAGGGCTTTTATCTACGATTGCTTTTATTTTTGGTAACTGAATTACTAAGGAAGCGTGCGTGTGCAAGCAGTTTATATTTCTGAAGTTACTTAAATATCTTAAGTATTTAAAAAGTGTACTTCATTTTGGTGTTGCATAATACTTTTTGCTGCTTTTGCTGCCTCTTGCTGTGATGCTCTTGGAGAAATACCAGTTCACTTTCTATCTCCTTCCACCTTGTTTCTTTATCCATGTACTATCTTGCATATCTTGGAAATAAGTAATTTTGTAGTCATAATTGTAGCTGTAAATTCCTTCCTGGCCATTTCCCAGGTAATCTTTATATGTGGTCCTGTAGAGGACTTTATGTATACAATAGCTTGAATGGTTATACTTTGATTTTACTATTTTATGTTTGACAGCTCTTTTTTTTTTTTTTTTTTTTTCTTTCTTTTTAACTGGGCATTGTTCTGTCTGGGAGGAGACAATTTAAGTAATCATTTCTTCAATTGGCATGTTAAACAAAATAATGATTGTTCCTGGTGTCGAGGTATCTTCCATATGAGGAATTTCATAGCAATAATGTAATCTATTAATATTCTGTCTTTCAGGTTTAACAGATGAAAAAGTGAAGGCCTATCTTTCTCTTCACCCCCAGGTACTGGATGAGTTTGTGTCAGAAAGCGTGAGTGTGGAAACTGTGGAAAAATGGCTAAAAAGGAAAAATAACAGACAGGAAGGTAAGTTATTTTTATTTGTGCTTAATATTTAACTTCAAGCAGCTCTGTTCTTATTTGCAGATTTTAAAAAGAAAACCTAGTTTTGGTAAAACTTGACAGTTACAGTTTTTATGCCCAGGTTCCACTATTTTTTTCAAAGGCCAAATAAATTAACAGTTTTTCAAAATATTTTCAGCCTTTTGGTATTTCTGTTTTGGAATATACTGGTAGTAATTTTGGAGGTTCAGCTTACCACTTTGAATTGTAAATACTGTTTCACCAACCTGTACTTTCTGTTACGTTAGTGTATGTTTTGAGGGCATAATCGGGTCTTCTTGGATCTAAAATTGATAAGTTTTGAATTAAAATGATGCAGTATGTGCAGGATATAAGCCTCAGTAAAATACTGCATATATCATCTCGAAAGTTCCTACTTGAAACATGTATTAAGTCAATTTTAGGTACCTATATTGACACTGAGGTTATAGAGCAGTGTATTGAATTCTGAAGGTATTTCTGTTGGCTTGCTTTAAGTATAATCCCTCACTTGCTAGTCCCGGAAAACTGTTCCTTAGGAGTTGGCCTGGGTGCATAGGGGCAGTAAATTTTTGTAATGATCTTATTGTGAGATTGTGTATACAAATAAGATGCACACAATTCATTTGGACTGTACCAGCTAAAATGCAAAAGAGATTACCAAGAGGGTGAGGAAAGAAACACTGATTTTACTCAGTGTGTGCATTGCTCTGTGGCTGACTTCTAAGATACTTGAGGTTTAAGTTAAGGTGGTAATTCTATTTTAAATACTGGGGCTATTGCAACTTCCTACAAGAAAACTGAGTGATTTCTGCAGACTTAGAAAAAAATGTAATGGTGGACAAGGGACAGAAAAGGCTATATCGAGCCAGATTTTTTTGAGAGGATGACTGATACTAAGGTGGTAGCACATTTTTGTTGGTCTAAAGAGGTTATCTAATGGAAGAGTAAGAGAATGTGTCTTTGTGGTTGACAAACTGCAGCACTGCAGGTTGGCAATCATTATAATTCATGAAGTCAATCAGAAATACATTGTTATGAATTCAAGTGAATAAGTCATGACAATGCTTTCTTTAGACAAAGAGAAAATATACTTTGATGTTAGCAGAAATAAAACCTAGTTATTTTAAAGTGCTATATTCCTGTGAAAATGCTGATTTTTCTCTAAGGTGCTTGAAATCAATGCAAGAAACCATTACTTGTTTGAAATGTAGTTAATAGTCTGGGTCAGGGATCTTGATGCTAAAACTGAATGAATGCTTTGTATAACATTTTAATCATGCCAAGTCAAAAAGAGTAATTTGAATGTGTTTTGTTACTAGAATGGAACAGATAGCTGATTAGCCTTATCTACGTTTTTCTTTTAGAAAGATAAAGGCTGTAGCCATATAAAATGCCTTTGATGACAGACCATCTTAATTTGTCAAAAAGCATTATTTTTAGGAATATTTAAGAAATATATTACTTGATTTACTCAGTATCATATATGTACAAATCCTACTGCCTAAGTAATGGTGGGACTGAGAAGTGAGGAGGAAAAGATGGAATTGGTTCTTTTGGTGTCAGCATGGATCTGTGGTGACTTATAAGTGAGTATGTATCGTATGTTGCTTTACATCATTAGGGGTATAATTATTCTTTTATCCCTCTTGCTTTAGTGTAGTTTCCTTTGCAAGTGTTCACATCATGTAATGTGATACAGACAGAAAATTAAATTTTAAAGGTTGCCAGGCAGGGAATATACGGTTTTGAGGTCTCAGCCTTAATGTCTGTAGTCTTATAGGTTGGTGACGCAGAACAGTCATTAACCTGTATGCAGGAATGGTGTCCTGCCTGACTTACAGACATCCAGCTGTGTGTACACTTCAGCCAGAAGTCAATGGGCCTGCAGTCAGGGTAGTTTTTCTGAATTTCATCAGCGTGAACATAAACTGAAATGTCTGATTTGGACTTAAATGAACCACAAGTTAAAAAATAAAATCCATCTAACTCACTCATTCAGTGACTGAGATTAACTGAATGAGTGAGTTAGATGGATTTTATGCTGGGTTGTGTTTTTTTTTAAACCTGAAGTATTAAAAAAAAAAGAGGCAATCAGTAAATATGGCAGTGTTTAAGGCATAACTATATAAAAAAATATCATGACTTGTGTCATTAGTGTGTACTAGATAAATCTTGTATCTGTTATTGTAAAAGTTAGATTGAATGTAATTCATTACAGGTTAATGATGATCTCCCTGGGATGTTTTTTTATTTACTTATTTATTTTAGTATATTGGAGAAAACCTGCAAAGGTAGCACTGGGAAATAAATTTTGCTTCTACTAATATTTGTGTATTTACTGCAATTCTTGAACTCTCACTATTATGTACTAATAAAATACATGCTCAAAACACGCTCAGGCTTTGTGTTATGGCACACAGCATTTCAAAAAAACTCTGTATTGAACACTTGAGTTTTAACATTTTTGGTATCCAGATCATGGCTGAGTTGGCCAGGACTCTGAATGACATTGGAACAGAAACTGAACTGCTTCTCGTACAAAGTCTTTTGATCATGTTTTTTTGCAAGCAAGATGCAACCAAGTTAAAGGGTGTCCTGATGAAATAAACTGATTAGAAATTTCAGGGTTATTTTTACGTCTTCTTCAAAGTTGTTTGTTTATTAGCTGTGGAATAAATTTGTTCACAGATTGAGCCTACTACTTGTTGTCTGGGGCCTGATCTGTACTTCATACATTGTGGCCCCATGGTATATTTTGTGATTTTTTTAGATCAGAAAATCATCTATATATAGACACAGTAAAAAGTGCCCTTGCTTGTAGAATTTCACTTGAGGTACTGGTTTTATACCAGTAAGGTACAGGATCTTGCTTTAAAGATTCATTAAAGGTACGTCTTGATAGCAGATTTTTTTAACTGGACTTCTAGAGTCAATCTGCTGGAGGGAGATCTTTTCTTTCCAGTTGTCTAGATATAATACTCAGAGAACTCTCAAGTCATCTTCCATTTGTCCTCTTCTGTATCATTCAAGCAAAAGTAACATGAGTGTAGGAAGAGCTATAAGGTTGTGGAAGTTTTGGGCTCTGCTGGGTAGATCCTCATCTCTCAACAAATTTCTCAGAAAAATATTTATCAACTCCAACTTTTATTACACTCTTGGAAGCTATTTGAAGCACGACAATAATGAGATACTAAGTACATTGATTGTAAGCCAGGTGTGCATCTTTTACACAGCTGATACTGAATTTCACAGGTGTCTTTCCTAATTTGTTAATTGTATTTTTGTATAAAAAGAGAGGGCAAACTGTACTGACTTAGTGTGACATGGAAAGCTGCCTATGTCACCTCTTGCTGTGTGGGAGCACAGTTACTGCTTCCTTCAGGGAATGGCCCTCATGTTCATCAAAGTACATGGTCATGTGCTTATTAATTACTGCTGAATCTGGACACGTTGACAACTTTATACATCATTTTCTTCCAGCAATACTTGCCAAAAACATGTAAAGCTATATATGGTGGTAACTTTGCTACCATACAAATGATGTTAAGTAACTCTTAAATACAATTCTTAAGAACTTTAAAAATGGAAAATTGTATATAGACTAGTTAATTCACTACACAATTTAGGGTTAATACACAGTCAGAAGTTACTATCTGTTAAGTGCAGTGGACTTACTGCATTTACAGGAACCCAAAATTTCATAATGGACCTCTTTTAAAAAAAAGCCAAAAAAACCGTTAAGAGATTATAAAATTAATAGCTTAATGTAATGTTAATGTAATATTGTTGTATTCTTTATTCAGGATGCATAGTCCTGAGGACATATCACATAATTTTCCTGGGCTTTGGAAACTAATATGATTGATTCTCTTAGGATCAGTCCAAGGTTTTGCAGTCCTTATAGTAATATTTGTATTTATGGACTTCATAATGTAATACGGTGCTGGAACATGCTGTACATTCGAATGAGAATGTAATAATGCAATGTGGCCAAAATACGTTGCATGTTCTGATAAACCTGAGATAAACATAAACATGAGATGTTTAAATAAAAACATGGAATACCTTTTAAAGTAATTTTCATACATTCTTTTATGGATGGTTTGTTTTTCCTCTCATGCTTTCCTGTATCCATTAGTTTAATGTCAGTGTTAAATAAGTGTTATTCAATAGATGTGCTAATCATACAAATGATTAAATGAGTGTGTTTGATTGTTTCAGTTAAAGAACATTTGTGAACATTCAAACTACACTTTTTATTTATCATTACTCAATAAATCACAATGCATTAGTTGCTACTTTTATGTAATTATTGTGAGCAGTCTGACTGCAGTATAAAATGTAGTTCTTCATTAGTAATTTCAATGCATGATTTTCTCATTGCATGTCTATTCTTGTGTTGTTTCTTGTGAAGCAAACATGACAACTGTTTGTGGGGTCAGAATTTAGATTAAGGCCAGAATCTGTCTTTTTTTTTTTTTTTTTTTAGGTCCAGCCATTTCATTTTTCACCCTTTCCCCCATACTTTCTGCCATGTGCTCTAGAAATGGGCAAAGATGGCAGTCAGATTTGGTACACTGGATGGCTTTCAGTTTGATAGAGGACTGGAAGCAGTGACCTCTGGATTCACTCATTCTAACCATCTGGAAAATCACTGTAGCTTCCCTTTGGTAGAAGACTGAGTAGACTTCATGAGGAAAGATATCTGCATAAAATCCCTCACCCACATGTTCTTTTAGGTCTTCCCAATATACTTTTAAATCTCTATCTCTATACATATATCTATATCTATGTATGTTTTTTGTATGTATGTTATACCTATGATAACTTTCAGTGAGCTGATTGAGCACAGAAAGCATACAGCTCTGTGCAGGTTAGTTACACTGATTTATTGATTGATTTATTTATTTATTTAAATAGTCTATGCTGAGCTGAACTGACTGTAATGGCTCTGGTGTCCGAGTTAGTTGTTTAAGCAAGAT